TGTTAAGAGTTATAACAATCGAGCCATGAAGTTCTTCTATGATGGCCAAGGTTTCATGTCTGTGAAACTGACCGGATCGGATGCTAAGATTGCATTCTATGATGTTTTAGGCAGGCTTTTGCACACCTGGAAGATGTCTAAGCCGCTTCACTCTACCATGTAATTATGAAGTGCTCGCCTCCCCATGGCAGAGAGGCCAACAACATGTCAGGAAAGGAAAATTACAACACAGCTAGTTGATCAGTTTTGTAAATTAAATTAGTAGTTGGGGATACGTACTCTGTGTACATATCATTACTGATTTCTAGGCTTCGTGTACATACGGGTTCTCTAGCTATATATATGTGTATTAATAACACAATATTTTATTCTTCTCTGATCGGTCCACATGATTTCCAAGTAGTCCTTGATTTTACTTAGATCCCCAGAGAACAGCAGCCTCATATTCATAGTTATTGATTTTGTCAAGTGCATGTGTTCTTTAAAAATAAAATAAAAAAGGTAATAATTCATTCTGATTCATTTGCTAAGCGGGTATGATTCTGTGTCGGGGAGTCGGGGACCTTGGGTATGGAATAATGGAACATGTGGTTGTTTATTTGGTTGGGCAATGGCGGAGCTACAAATTCTATCAAGGATGGTCAACTTTAAATAACTTTATAATTACATTAAACTTAGTTTTTATAAGAAAATATATTTACGAATTCATTATAATGATTATATTTCAATATCACAAATTTAATATCTTAGTAAGCATAACCTAAATTCTAGCAACCTAAAAATAATAAAAGAGTATCAAAAGTTGATTTTAGATAAAATGAGAAAATCAAATAAAATCCATGGCGCACACATATAAATGACATATGAAGACATGCAAACAAAAATAGATCATATTCATATTCATTGTAGACAATTTACATTTACGAGAATGGTCAGCAGTAAGTATAGTTATAAAACAACTTGGATAACATAGATAAATATAAGGTTTTCAAAATATTGAGAAGGGTCAAGTGACCCTTGTGGGCCTTAATTGGCTTCACCAATAGCACGGTGGAATGATCGTTATAATCTTCTTAGAAATCGAAGAAACTAAGAGTTATAATCTTAGTTGAGATGCCTTTTGATTATTCTGAATTATAATCTTAGTTGGGATGTCTATACTAGAGTTTCTTCGATCATGAATGATCGTTAGTGAAGGCGCATCAGATTGTCTTAATTTTGATGTTAGACCGTTTTGTTATTGTAATGGCCCTTTGTGGTTAATTTGTATTGGCATTTTGTGGCTAGTGGCTTTTTTAGCTGAATTATGAATGCAATCATAGAATTTCTAAATAAACAAATAAACTAAATTCACTTTCATATAATAATCCAAAATAAACCCATATATATGATATATAGGGGGCTTCTCCAATGCGAACTCTAAGATGTGAACTCGTTGCGAACTTTTGTTTTTAACCGTTGGAAGAAGAGCGAAAAGAAAGAAAATAAAGCCACACAAGCCATCCAACGGTTAAAAACAAAAGTTCGCAACGAGTTCGCATCTTAGAGTTCGCATTGGAGAAGGCCCCATGATATATATAGATATATGTGCACTCTGAGAGAGGTAACAACTGGACCGGAGTGGTAGTTTGAAGCAGTCTATTTAAAAATACTAAAATGAAAGGCCTGCACCTAACCATGACACTTTATATATGTAGTGACTACTGAACAGACAAATGCATGTGATAAAAGGTATTCTTTCGGTGGCGGTTTTTCCATCAGTTGAGTGACTACTCCTGGCACAGTGCGTTATTAGTGGAGAAATTTCTTGTCGATTTGTGTATAATTAATCGTAAACGACATGTGTGGCCTCGCGTACCCCATGCTCCATTATTCATTTTGTTAGCCTTAGCCCTTGCCATGTTGTCACCGATTCCATTTTGCCCTTTTGATATATATGTAATATTGTATTCTTCTTGCGAAGCAAACTATTGTCACCCTATCCAATCCAATAAGTGCCCAAATCATACGCATCCATATCTGTTTGTTTAATCTATATGTTTGTATAAAAAGACAGGTTTTGCCTTGGAGAGACCCTCAATACCATTTTAAGCTTCTTTTTTCCCATTTCTCTACTCTTCCCTCGTTCTTAATTAGCTAAGCCAAGGTAGCTATGGAAATCAAGACCACGATGACTATTGCAAATGTTTTGATCTCTGTTCTAGTTGTGTGCAGCTTGTCTTATGCAGCAGAGCTACCACGATTCCTGCACGCACCCAAAGCCGATGGATCTCTTAGCTTTTTGGTTCTTGGAGATTGGGGAAGAAGAGGAGCCTTCAATCAATCTCAAGTTGCTCTTCAGGTACTTCCATCCCATCTAACACTTGATTGTTTTCCTTTCCTCCTCTTCTCAAATTTTAATTTTCATAATAATCTTCTAATCTATTTTGTTCTTTTGCTCCTCCGTTTGGGGAATAATTCCGTTTATATTCTTTATACTCTCTATCTATCCAGTCTAGATGGTTCCATTCTTGGTCAAATAGCTGCTGTGCATGCATGATGTAGGAATGGCCCATTTCCAAACAACTAGGACACCTTTTTTATGTCTGAACTGAACACCATTATTTGTCTTCTTTGGATCCAATCAGCTTCTGACACAACACAAAGTATGGATTGGGTGTTTATTTGACTATATACAATAGTATTATTGGAGTATGTACTGTTCATAGCGCATATTTCTTTTTCTTGCGCTAAGTCTACATGTACATGGAAATTATTGGTTTCTGGAAAATAACGCTTTATTTCAAATGGGTTGTTCAGCTACTAAACTTCAATCATCTGGGACTGGTAGGTGTGAATTGCAACTTCAAATTTCATCCAGAAAAAGATTTCACCTTTACCATAAATAATAGTATAGTTTTTCGCCAACGGGGTCAATTGCCCAGTGAAAAACGGCATTGACTTAGATACTATCACTAGTTTTTTGGTTTGAAGTTATGTAAATATTAACAGAAAATATATACTTCAAATTTCTAGATGGGGATAATTGGAGAGAAGTTGGATATTGACTTTGTAATATCCACCGGGGATAATTTTTACGATAATGGATTGACGGGCATCGACGATCCAAATTTTGAAGACTCATTTACCAAAATCTACACAGCACCGAGCCTGCAAAAGCAATGGTACAATGGTACATATACATATCCCAATCCTCAAACTCTTGGACAATTAAATCCACACTAGTTTTAAAAGCAATATATATATATATAATAATGTTTTTGGTAATATTGCAGTTCTGGGTAATCATGATTATAGAGGTGATGTTGAAGCACAACTGAGTCCTGTTCTCAGAGAATTGGATCCCAAATGGCTTTGCTTGAGATCCTTCATAGTTGATACCGGTAAGGCTAGAGTGTACATCTCAAAATATTTATGTTCTAAAACAGAGGAAATAGTTTTATTAATCACATTATTGTTATTTTTCTATATCGGCAGAAATTGCAGAGCTTTTCTTTGTGGATACAACTCCCTTTGTTGATAAATATTTCACTCATCCAGAGGAGGCTGTCTATGACTGGAGTGGCATATTTCCCCGAAATGATTACTTATCAAATCTCCTCAAGGTATACTTCATTTCTCCTCAAATTTAGCTTAATCATCTTTCCAAATTTTCCAAACTAATTTAATTAGAATACTAGCTAGAATTAATATACTTTTGGTTTTGGTTTTGGTTTTGGCAAAGGATTTGGATTCAGCATTAAAAGAATCTACTGCAAAGTGGAAGATCGTGATTGGCCACCACACGATTAGAAGCGCTGGATATCATGGTGAAACAAAGGAGCTTGTAACACAGCTTCTCCCAATTCTTCTGGTACTTCATTTCATACTAAAAACACACTCACCTTTTCCTTTTTGTTTTTGTTTTTAATCAACGATGATCATGCATGCATGTCTTAAACTTTCAGGAGAACAATGTTGATCTTTACATGAATGGGCACGACCATTGCTTAGAACATATAAGTAGTCCCGACAGGTACTAGAATTCAATTAATCTTTTATATAATTTATTATTAGCCACTGCATTTTTGCTTTTGTTTTTGTGGGAAAATAACAATAATTTTACATATTTGCAGCCCACTTCAATTTGTAACAAGTGGTGGTGGGTCAAAGGCATGGAAAGGTGAAGTTAGCCGGTACAATCCAAGCGAAATGAAGTTGTATTACGATGGGCAGGGTTTCATGTCAGTGCAAATCACTGAAAGCCAAGTAGATATTGCCTTCTATGATATTTTTGGCAATGTCTTGCATAAATGGGCCACGTCAAACCAGCTTTACCCTACCATCCATGTAATGCAGAGGAGGAGGAGGAGGAGGAGGAGGAGAGCGTCGACTCGACATGCACCTGCATTGGTCATATTTAAGATTAATTCCTGTCAAATTATTAATTAATGCAACATAAATGCCATTGCCTTTGCCAGGGCTATACGCATGTGATTAATGGAAACTAGTTTTCTTGTCTTTCCGTCTCGGCTAATTCATCTTCTTTGCGGAAAGTCATTATCTTTGAATTGAAAGGGCCACAAAACTAAAACAACTGGGAAAGCAACGAATTATTAGCAATTGAAGGCAAAGAGTTTACCATAATTTAATTTTAGCTTACGCTTAACACGGACGGAAAACAGGAAAAGGAAGCTTTGATGTTTGGTGGTGTCCCCAAGTAATCAATCTTAGGGATTAATTTCAAACTTAATTGTTTATTTCTAAATAAGTAAGGTGAGTGAGAATGACGTGGAGATAAATTGATAGAGACAAAGGGACCAGGAAAAAAGGTGTAAGTTTTCTAAATGCCACCATATTTGTTTCTTCCAAAAAGAGATTTTATCACCGGCTTTTAAAAGGGAGAATAAAAAAAACAAAAAAGAGAGAGGCCAGGTCATCATATGCAATTAATTCGGTTAATAATGCATGCAAATTAAATTCTAGTAGAAATAAAATGAGAGCTTATTTATAAATACTAATGGGGAGCTACTCACTATATCTATATATATAGGCTCACATCACAACGCTATCCACCGAAGTCAGTTCTCTCATATTTTCTGCTAAAAACTCAAACATGGCTTCTTTTTCTACTTGTGATTCCAAAACCATATTTTTCTTCTTTGGCTTGACAGCAGCATGCCTGTCACTTTGTTCGGTTGGTTCTGTGGCTGAGCTTCAACGTTTTCAGCACCCACCAAAAGCAGATGGATCTCTTAGCTTCTTGGTTGTTGGAGATTGGGGAAGACGGGGACTCTACAACCAATCTCAAGTTGCCCTCCAGGTTTCTACATATCATTTTTTTCAGGGTCATGATCTCTGTACTTGATTGACAATTTGTATACGCGTATATGTTTGCATGTTTGTGATTATATGAACGATATATATGTTTGCATTGCATGTCTAGATTTCTATATTTCATGCTGCCATGGTTACCAAATTTCACCGTCTTTTTTTTGGTCGTCATCAATCCGAGTTCAAAATTTCACCATCTGGTAGGACCATATAATTTGATCATGAATGAATGTATTATGTATGGTTCCAAATTCCAATCTACATAAAGAGTGTTAGCTAGGGCTAGGGAGGGCATATTCTATTATGCTCTCAAGAGCCAGTATTAAATATTCGATGCATATTCTAAAAGGGTCCTTATCTCTGTCAATTTGGTTTAGCAATTGCCGTATACGAATTTAAGTAGCAACCATCCCCCATCATCAATAATTAAAACAAGAAAACAAGACTGGTTCTGGTTGGTTGTTTTGAAATTGACTGGTAGCTAGATATATTCTGGTTGGTGATTTTTTATTAGCAAACTTTAATCCTTAATTTGAATTGCAGATGGGTCTAATTGGAGAGACAGCAGACATAGACTTTGTCATCTCTACCGGTGATAATTTCTATGAGGATGGTTTAACAGGCGTGGATGATCCAGCATTCAATGAGTCATTTTCCAACATCTATACTGCCCCTAGCCTAAATAAGCAATGGTACAATGGTAAAATACATGCACCCCATCACCATGTTGAGTTAATTAACGTCATGAACTATTTCGTTAACTGGTAGTATAATTACATGATTAATGCAGTCTTGGGCAACCATGACTATCGGGGTGATGCTGAGGCACAACTGAGTCCCGTCCTCAGAAAAATTGATAGCAGATGGCTTTGCTTAAGATCATTCATTGTAAATGCAGGTAAGCCTTAGCCAACCCTACTTACTTACTTACTTACTTGTGTTATAATATATGTTATGTCACATTCATGAACACAAAAACAAAATGCAACAAAATGCAAGCTCAGCATTAATAAAACTAATTAATATATTTTGGTAGCAGAAATCGTAGACTTTTTCTTTGTGGACACAACCCCATTTGTGGATGATTACTTTACAAATCCAAAGAACCATACCTATGATTGGAGGGGCGTCACTCCTCGGGAGGATTATCTTTCCAATCTCTTGAAGGTAACGTTACACATTATTCTTATTCTTATTATCTTTGCCAATTGCCACTCAATTTATTTATTTATTTTTTTCATTTGGGGCATATCTCAATTTATATATATATATATATATATATATATATATATATATATATATATATATATATATATATATATATATATATATATATATATATATATATATATATATATATATATATATATATATATATATATATATATATATATATATATATATATATATATATATATATATATATATATATATATATATATATATATATATATATATATATATATATATATATATATATATATATATATATATATATATATATATATATATATATATATATATATATATATATATATATATATATATATATATATATATATATATATATATATATATATATATATATATATATATATATATATATATATATATATATATATATATATATATATATATATATATATATATATATATATATATATATATATATATATATATATATATATATATATATATATATATATATATATATATATATATATATATATATATATATATATATATATATATATATATATATATATATATATATATATATATATATATATATAGGATGTGGATTCAGCACTAAAAGATTCGAGTGCAAAATGGAAAATTGTAGTGGGTCACCATACAATTAAAAGTGCAGGACATCATGGTGTCACCCAAGAGCTTGTAACCCAACTTCTCCCAATCCTCAAGGTACGTACGAATGTTCCTGATAAATAAATAAATTTCAACTATATTATATGTATATATATATAAGAAGAACCAAAACAAAAGATTTCCTTTTGAGTAACTGTAAAATAATATTTTAATTTATTATACGAATTGTTTCCACTTTTCATCAGGCAAATAATATCGATTTTTATGTGAATGGACATGACCATTGCTTGGAGCACATCTCTGATACTCACAGGTAATTAACAAATAAAAACAAACTTGGGTTAATGTATGTAAACACCAATTGATTTGGTTGTGAATGCAGTGAAATTAATTTCTTCACAAGTGGAGGTGGCTCCAAGGCATGGAGAGGTGATATAAAGCGGTGGAGTCCAGAGGAACTCAAGTTGTATTACGACGGCCAAGGTTTCATGTCAATCCAAATGACCATAGCCTCTGCTGATATAGCATTCTACGATGTCTTTGGCAATGTTTTGCATAAATGTAGCCTCTCCAAATACCTTCGCTCAGCCACGGACAGAACTTTCTCCTAAGCTTAAAATACTCACTCATTCTAATTATTTACTGTAAGCTCATTACCATAAATAATAAATAATAAGGCATCGTCAAATTATCTTTTACATTAAAATGTTACTCAAATAGTTGGAACATAAATTCTTCCTAGTCATATTGGGCAAAAAATAAACTACTTTTCATCCAATGATACATTAAATATAGATTGCTGTGTTCTCCAGTGTGGTAAGCTCATTACCAGTTCTCTATGTAACTTGCGGGCATAATCTTCCCACATAGCGATTGCAATCGTAAAATCAACCCAATTAAAGGAATGTCGTGCACTCTCAACGAATGTCGCATTGCTAAATACAGAGTCTACTAGACGAACATCCTTTGCAAATAAAGATTTGAGGCAAACAAATCTCTCCCTCTGTGATTGTGACAAGAATACCACCGAGGTAGTTTCTTCTACTTTGGCAGATTTGAAATCAGGAGCTTTCCAACAGTAGAATTGTACAACCTGAGGCATATCATGAGCAAAGCAGGTTTAATAACAGACTTAACCTTAGGGAAATTATAAGTTTAAGAAGTACTGCACAGAGAAATCTCAAACTATGCTGGTAAGAAGAACGTCTATATTCTCACATGATCAAGGGATTCAACATTCTCCGTTTATTCGAGATTTTCACTATTGCTTGAGTTTGAAAATGTATTTACCGAGCATGCATTCATCTTCACCTTAACATGAACAGCAAATGAGAGTGGGCATTCGGTTGAATACCTGAAGTGCATGCAAGATGTTGATGAACTCATGCTCAAACAACTCATCTCCCCTTGTTAATCGCAGTGGCTCCATCAGTAACTCAGACATATTTGAACAGTAGCTCTTGTCTTGATGGAAAAGTAGATCGTATCCAAGAACATGCAATCTTGCCCAGCATATATCAAAACCCAACTGCTGATCAGAAGAAGCTTGGTCTGGTGAAAACCAGTACATATTACTGGATGCTGGCAAAGGCAGGCATAATTCAGGAGCATTATCATGCAAAAAATTCTGTGACAGAAGGGTTATAAGTTTAGCATCCTCATCATAGGTAGCATCACGACTAAACCATAATGCCAGTGTGAGTCTTTCCCCATCAGTAATCTGTCAAATGATACTTAAGCATAAGAAAACAATGCAATTTAGATACAGTCATATCAGACAGCAACTCTGCATCTAAAGACCCAAAAAGAAGACAAAAGAGAACGATTAACATCCCCAATTTTCACCAAACAGGATGGAAGACCATGAGATTTAGTTGTACCAGTAGCATATACAAAACAAGGCACAACCAAAATAAAAACTTAAATCTTTCACTTTATTTATAATGGGAGAATTGATCTGTTGCGCCACTATAAACAGACACACACACACAGTTGAATGTACCTCATCAACAGAATGAATGTTGCGGCTGTCAGCTGTGTATATCACAACATCCTGACAAATACAATATTTTGATGAGTAAGGCAATCAATCACATGTTGAAATAGACTGGACAATAAGGCATTTAATACACCTCTATCACATTGTTGTTTTCTCATTATATATATTCCTAATCTTACGACTTTAAGACTCTTGTTGTTTAAGAGACTCACATTTTCAATTCCCATGTATGTACTGTTTAAAGAAACTGGAAAACCTCCTCATATAAGCTTCAGTCACTTACCCCACCTGATGGAACGATAGTTGCTGGATCCCCATCCTGGAAGTGAAAAAGTCCACCTTTGAAATCATTCCCGTAACTATTCAAATAACAGACTGCCTTTTACAAAAGGAATTAGGAAAACCATCAGCAGAAAGACTAAACAAGACATTAAAAAAAATGCGACAGTAACAAAAGCGTTGTATGTGGACAAGGGGAGATTAAAGCCATGGTATTTGCAACTGCCAAATTGAAAAAAGATCAAATAAACCATTCAAAAGATAGCTCGACATCAATAATTAAAAGACGAGAATCACAACCAACTTCCAATTAAAATAGGTAAATGAAAGTTATCATCAGAGGGCACTTGACCAAGGAAACACTATATATCCCTAACATTAATATCTTCAGCAAGTCGCATACACACCGCAAAGTCACGCTGCTTAAGATAGGGCCTGTTGTCATCACTATGCCACCCAATGCTCGATCCTCTACTCCAGCTGAAGGACGATGAATAGTATTATCAGATAAAGAGAGTTGAAAAGATAAATGAGAAAGCATCCATAGACACTCTAGAGAATCAAGTAGCAAAATACAATGTTGGAAATATAAAGGAGTTCCAAAGACATCTAAATAAAAATTCAGACTCACTCTCTTCCCGATTATAGAGCAATGTTATATTTATATTGCAAAGTTATTCTAACAAATTGAGTTAGAAATACGTTTATTACCAAAGGGTTATGAGGAAAATAAATCTGTTCCATACTTCAACAGAAACAGACTGGGCAGTTTTTCCTCAAAATTAATTTGTTCCATTATTAATATTACCTATCTGAGGACATTCTTATCTTTTCTTTGAAAAATCTAAGAAGGAAGAATAAGAGTTAAGGGAGGTGCCTACCTGATCAAACCGGTGAATTCAACAAAGAGTTCATAATGGCACCCAAAGAATTCCTCTACCTTCTCCTTCAACCTCTCTGCCAGTTATTCAGTCACATATGATATAACATACCCAAATTCAAAACTATAATCAAAAGGAAAGAAAGAAAAATGAAAACAAAAAAAAGGGCAGGAAGGTAGCGAACCAGCTAATAGTGGTGAGGGTTTGTTTCAGTTATAAATACCTCTGATGGGGACGAAGGGCATGATGAGGTGGGCAGAATTGGTGGCTATGAGATGTGAAAGAGTGGTTGAGAACACATGGGGTCTGTACCCAACCGTACAATTGCTCTTGTGGATAAACTCCAGTTCCTTGCATTCTTGGAAGGAAAGGAAGTTGTGGAGGATGAGGCGACGACCATGTTCTTCTGCTTCTTCTGGGTCTCCCATTTTCATCTTCTGTATTGCACTGACCCGACCCGTGAGTTGGGACTTGTATTAGACAGAAATTAATCAAAAGGAAAGGGAAAAATATAAACCCACAGTTTTATGCTGTGCTGAGTTCACCAGTGCTATGAGACTCGTGATTTGTTATTTTCACTAACTTTATTTTATGGGTTGCAATTTGCAAACTGTTTTTTCGGTCCAAAGATGAAGTTCTTGATTAACATTTGCAATTTGCAAACTTTAAAAGGAGTAGTATTAGGTATTAGTTAATTTTCAACTCAAATTAGATTAAAGTTTTCTACTCCCAAAACCTTTCTACTTCATCTTCCATGACAATTTTTTCTGCTAATCCATAATCAGGTTAGGAGGAAACAAATTTGTTGCACTGCATGGCGTTATATATCTCAAACAATCAAATAAGATCCACACACACATCAAAATTTCCGAACTAGATAAGGAAAAAGGGCCAAATATAGATTAAGAGTGCTTTTCACCTACTTTAAGAGTTCATATAATAAGGGGGAAAAAAGAAGAGGACAAGGGATCTCAATTCTCAGAGAGAACTGAAAAAGTTCTTCCGCCTGTTCCTCTCGCTAGTATGATTTTTGGTTTCACTCTTGCCGCTCTTTACATTTGTTTCCAACTCATTGCAGTTTGCAGCCTACCCTGTTTCTTCTTAAGAACCTCTCTCTCTCACTCTCCTAAACTGCTCCAGCCTGATTGCTTGCTGCCGTCTTGTCAGAGGTCTGCTGTTCTTCTTCCTTAACGGCTGTTCTTCCGCTGCCAGTCCCCTCTGCACTTCCATTGCAGTCTTGTCTTTGAGCTTTCCCATCCGATTTTCCTTTCGGAGAAGCACTTGTACTGTGGTTGGATTTTCCAGATCCATTGTCTTTATCTCTCGGGGAAGGAGTCTCAACAGTAGGGCTCATTTCAGTTGCAGTACCAGGCAACTGTTGAGGAGCTGATGAGTTACCTGAACCTGGGGGAGGAAGGAAAACTCCGGTGCCAGGTAGAGGGATGCGAGGTGGAGGATGCCTGGGAGCTGCTGGCCATCCAGCCGAACCAGGTGGGATAGGAACTGCTGCAGCAAAAGGTATGGCTGGTCCTACCGGGGCAGGCACAAACAATGGCTGGATGCCATTTTGAGGTGGAAGTTGAGAACGTATTGGTGGGGCTGGCAATACACCAGTAGTTGGAACTGCTGCATAGTGCTTGGGACCAGTAGGATGGCGAATGTGATTCGGAGATCTACTGGGTGGTGGACCCCAGTAAGATGACTGGGCTGGAGCAGGTGCAGGAAAACGTTGACCATCGCTCGTTGTGGATTTTTTTGGTTGTGACTTTGTAAAAGTAACAAGTATCCGTTGCTTGCGAATGGAAGGTATTGCATGTTTTGCAAAGTCTGCGGATTTCCCTTGCATCAACAGGATGGATCTGCAGGGTCATGGTGGAACACCTTAAGTCAGGAATATGGCACAAATAAATTACAGTTGAATCTCAAATGAAACTAAGCAGCCTGGAAGAGTAGAAAATTTCATTTGTCTTTAAGAAACCTGCAAGCACCAATAAAGTCAGCTGTTGTAGCTTCCTACATAAGAAGCACAACAATGACCATGGTTTCTTCCTGAACTAATGGACGCACCAATTAGAGCCCACCAGACATTGTAAGATAAGAGAGACGATGAAATAACGATGTTTTGATCTGAATTATGCAACTCATATTCTTGCAGCATCCAAAAGCAAGAAGGAAAAATGTGTTATAGTTAGTATGACTAATGTAATGATTTCTAGTGGATGTCTTCCGGAATACAAGGGTTACAAGATCATCTTAGTGCAACTTTTTCTCTAGCAAGTAACCCTAACTTGATTCCAATCTTTTTAAAACAATAGTATTCAAGCTTACTTTATTCTGGAAAGATGACAACAGTTATATATCAGAACTCAAAAGTAGCAACCAACAAAAAGAAAACTTTTAAAAAATGGTATCAATTGAGAGTAGTCAGAAAGGGTACCCAGGGGTAAGAGAAAGCCTGAGGGAGCCTTTATAATCCCCAGGATGGTCCATTAATAATACTCTCCCAAAAGTCATGTCACATTCTGTCAGGTAGAGCGCGCAAACAGGCCTTCCAAACCAAGACGGCCATGTGTGAGGTTGCGAATGATCACCCTACAAATAATAATCACAAAAATTACAATATCTTAGAGAACTGTGCATTTATTCAATCCTACAAACAAATTGTGCACTGTTAGCAACCTCATTATAGACATCAATGATACAAGAGTCTGGCTTCACAGTCATAACATGCATCCCAACTAAGCGATCGATAACATCCTGCAGCAAGGAAGGGATGGGTTCTATCTTCCGATCTACATATTTCATTAAAAAGAAAATTCAACAGATGGAGTTTGAGTAAAATGTGAGTAGCCTTTCCCTACATTGACAAAAGATAAAACAAAATTCCAAATCTTTTATCAAAAGATCATAGTAAATTGCAACATGCCTTTGGAGGTCCCTGCAGAAATTTCATCTTCAGGTGGAGCATCTGCAATAGGGATGCCCAACTGAATCATTTCTCTTCCATGTCCCTTCATGGGCCTCTTTGAGACCACATATGTCTGACCTGTTTCTCATCACAAAGAGATAAAGATATTATTGACAACTATTAATTTTAAGAGGAAAAACCCTTTCTCAGATCACAAGTATTGACAACTTGAAGGCTTCCAAAGAAGTAAAATTAATACTCTTCTAAGAATGAAATACAAATTATTTCTAAACCATGCCATCATGGATTTGTAGACTTGCCTTGCAATTGTCTTCTTTTTCCGGCAGCCCTCAAATCATTTACCAAAGAAACAAGTTTCAAGACTTCTGCGTCACCGAGAAAATCTTCATACAATTTCAGTCCATCAACCACATTAACCTAAAAAAAAAAGTTAAAATTTTCCACATCAATCTACTGATTCTGAACGAACTAGAAGTAAAAAAGATAGTATCAAATGGAGTAACTACCGTCTTTCCATCAGATGTCTCATTGCCCAAAAAAGTCTTTGGGACAATGGAAAGGTTCTGCTTCTGATTCTGAATTTGGATCGAATGTGATTCATTCACTGGAAAAAGAAAACAGAATCCCAACTTTAAATACAATAGTAACAGGATAGAACAAAACAAAACTGTCATGTCATGATAGGTGGTGTATAGTAGCCAGCAAGAGAAAGAGGGGCAGAGAGATATTATGGCAACCCATGAATTGGAATGGTCAAGTCCCCTACTAGAAACAATGCACCCCATAATGGCAACCCATGAATTGGAATGGACAAAGTGTATAACCTTTAGTGCTTGGGGTGCAACCATCCACTTCTACAACTTCCGGTTCTGAATTTTCAGATATGGTACCCTGGGAATCCCCGAAACTCCTCAAGTTGCCATCTTCTTGAGGTTTCGTAAGAGCATCTGTCACAGCAATCATAAATAAGTAACAACAAGGCATTACTTCAAAGCATCCTTCTTCATTTCTACAATTGAGAATTGTTCAAATTTATACAATGCAGATAATACAAGTTTTCATGTGTATGCATATATGAGCTTAACGGGGGAGTAAGAAGTACTGATGTTAATTGGAGGTCATTATACTCAGTTTTGGAGTTTATATCAGAGAATGGAAAAGGAGGTCTTACTACGTTATCATTGTGGACAAAAGGATAAATAAATTCATATGCAATTTGAACAATACACTGCTTTTTTGAATAATGGAATATGTAACAAGCATAATCTCACTTCCCAGTAAAGAAAGCTAACTCTAGGGTGAAATCACAACTGGTGGAGTGTAGGTCAGCTAATGAAGCAGAAAATTACACGACCACGAGACAGACTGCTACTTATTTACAACTTTTAGGACGGCACATTTGCCCTGGGTGAAGGCGGACTTCATGAGATGGTTTTTGGCTTATTTAGTCTTTACAGAACATTTTCACCACACTTTCCTTATCAGGTCACAAGTTATGAATTTATAAACTACTAAAATATAGATTCTTAACCTTTTGCCAATAACAACTCAAGAAAATTCCTAGCATGACATATGCTTCTTTAAAAGATTAGGTTTTTTGGTTCAGCTCTAAGGTTTTCTGATTTCATTACCATAAAACCAGCATTTACTACGCAATTATATGGGCACCAAATTATCAATCCTAAACCCAAAAGTTACCTTTTTTCTCTCCAGCGGGCGCTAAACCCTTATCATTTAACTTCCCAACCTCCCCACCAGGCTCAACTTCCTCACCTACTTCGCTCCCCCGCTCAAATTTCTCTGGAGCCACAACCCCCGAAGAATTCCCATCATTACTATGAGACTCTAGGGTAGAATTATGTCCCTCCTTGAAAGCCTCAGCCCTCTGTTGGCCCTTGTTAAACCCCACACCAGATCTCTTGAACTCCTTGCCCCCCGCTTTTACAGGATCATAGTACCTCTGCTGCCTCCTCCAGGCAACGTGTTGCAGTGCATAAATCACCTCGGCAACCGAAAAGTACTGCTGCATATGAAGCACGGGGTTCCAATTGCACCTCCTCTGCTGGATACACCCGATAACCACGTCGTACTCGCCTGGCTCCCCAACAGCACGCAAATGGTGGCAAAGGGAGTCTATAATGGCATTTGCAGCTGCGAATTCTCCGCGCAGCCACGAGATGAATCCATCACGCTCGTCCGGGAACCACTGACGGTGGTGCTGGGGGATCTCGCCGCCTCCAACGGCCCCACCGCCACCACCACTAGGGAACTGCATTTTGTCCGATAAAACCACATTTCCCGATGGCATTGTCATGAGAACCCACTATACCAAATTCACTACTACCACATATAAAGCATGCCTCAGTACTCCCAGATCCAATAAATCAAGGAACGTCTATATTCTAAATCCCGCACAATTCAAGCAGATCCCACGAAATCAATGCCCTAATCTAGCAGGAATCAGCTTAAATACCACAAATTTCTTCAATTTTTCCACATTTACGATAATAAAGTTAGCAAATTTCTGAAGAACAATGCAAAACCTGAAATGGGTTTCCCTTATTTTGTTCAAACTTCGCACCGATCCCACAAAATTACTGAATTTAGGCGAATTGTGTTAGCTGAGAGGTGAAAAACCGAGCTGGGTCAGTAGGAACTGCGGGGATGAATTAGTCAGATCTAGAAATGGGATTTGTGGGAACAGAAAGTAAGATCAAAAGGGTGTATCACCGTGTGTATTCATTCGTGTAAGAGAGTTGGGGGGGGCTGAGTGAGTCTCAGTCAGTGGCGTAGAGATTGGGGTGGGGTTTCAAAGAGTAAGATCTAGGGTTTGGGAAAATGTAGATTGTGCGCGTGTGAAGTGAGAGCTAAGATGAAGAATGGCTTATTGAGCACGCATTTGGTCTTAAATGGTGGCTGTGAAACCCTCTCTCTCTCTATCTCTCTATACTTGAGGGAAGGAAGCTCAGTGTGGAAGGGACCAAGAGAGCATATTCTTGAATGTAGGGGTATTTGAGTCATTGTGTTAGGGTTTTTCGAAACTAGTTTTAATTTAATTTTTCGGGAGTCTTCTCCCTCTGGGATTGAGATTGAGTTCATAATTAGCCGTTTTTTCCTGCCTTGTATAAGCTACCTAAACCACACTCCACAATCCACAATCCACAATCCACATGGTCTAGTTTCGTCACTTTTGTAACAAGTTAACAACTATATCTTCCTAAACTAATTTTGGCATTTCCTATTTTAGGTACCTCGACTGAACATTATAGTCTAGTAAGTATACACCATATGTTGTTATTCTCAACTCTATTTTTGCACTCTGCTTACTACAAATCTAACAATCTCAAATTTTGAATCATCATCACGAAATCATTTTTTATGTTTTTTTACAAATCTATATGAAACGTAAGTATCGAAAATTAAATTAAAGCCTTCTTAGCTAAAAAATTAACAAAAATAAAAAAAGACCGTGGTAAGTTAATTGGACTTCAAGATATACCACAAATTAAAACTTTCTTTGCTTAATCGGCGTACCAATATGATCAAGAATTCTATAGTGAGGGTCTTATATATGGCCCATAGATGATGTCTCATTTCTTAATTATTGGATCAAATTGGTTAGTCCAATTCAACAGGTAAGAAACAAAACCTTACCTAAATGACATATATAAGACCCTCACTATAGAATGACTCTCAAAATAACACTAGATAGATTTATTTGGATCTTCACCAAATTTACCCAATTCCCTTGGGCGGCTGGCTAAATTGGCCAAGTAAAAGCAGCCCTACTCTTTCTTTTGACCCAGCCCAGGTGTGTTTGTTTTTCATACAAAACATTGTTACTTTTTATTTACTTTTGTTACTTTTAGAATGCTTATTTCAAAGTAGCAGTAAAATGCTTTACCAAGGAAAAGAACCAGTAAAATGTCAACACAGAAGAAAATACATGACATTAATGGTTGTCAATTTGTCATCATCTTCTAACAATACTAGTTTGGTTCGATTCAAGTAGTAATATGTGATGCATGACTAAAAGCGTGTTTGCACTTGCAACATCAGCAGTGTCAATTTCATTTGGTTGTCTACATGTATTTATGATATATGCAACACACATGGCATCCGGAAGGACGTTGAACACGTAAAAAATATCTATATCATGCAAATCGTGCTCTAAAAAATGAATAATATAGTTAGGGCCCTTTTGGAAACGTTTTTGGATAATATTTTTTGAGAATATTTTCAAAGAATGTAAATGATAAAATGAATTTGCATTTTCAGGATTCGAGAATGCTTCTGGTAGATTAATTGAAAAACATATTCAAAAAACAAAAATAATGAAAACGTATCTAGTAATTAAAAAAAAAAAAGAATAATATTTTAAATCTATAAAAAAAACTTAAAACCATCCGACCTAGCCCAACCCCCCCATCCCCATTCTCTCTCTCTCTCTCTCTCTCTCTCTCTCTCTCTGCACGTCCTCTTCGATTTTGACAAGCTAGCGATTTGGGTTTGTTTGGTTGCAGATTGAAATTTAAATCAACAGCCTTGTAATCGATTGAAAACAAGAATTCAACAACCCATATGGTGATTTCGAATAGTGGGTCTTATACTAGGGTTGGGAGGGGTACCGTGTGGAGATATTAAGGGTTTTGAGGGGGTGAAATGATGAAACAAAGAGAGAAATGAAGAGACAGTGAGGTGTTCAATTTTTGGGTATGGGTTCAGAGAGAGAGAGAGAGAGAGAGAGAGAGAGAGAGAGAGAGGTGAAACACAGAAAGAAGGAAGGCCGCGTTTTCCTTTTATTTTTCTAAGAAAACGATAATTTTTTGTTTTTGTAAGGGACTTTTTCTTCTGGCAGCAGCAAGTGGGCTGGGCTGCTGCAAGGAGCAATCTGATGCAAGTGTCCCATTGTGTCTGAGTTCGAAGATTAAGCCCCAAGAACATCTTGAAAGGGTAGTGAAGCCTTAGGAAACTACTTGGTTACCTTCACCAATGAAAATAGCAACAAATTACAGATAGATCTTCTAGCTTGGCATGAGGGACTTATGGCATGGGAGCAAAATTATCATGGGTTTAGCACTTAAGGAGAGAGAGCTGTTGGTTCCTATGAGAGACAAAGGTTCTAATTGAAGGAGAAATGGGTTCTAAGGAGGTCTGATGGAGAGGGAGAAGGATGGTGAAGAATTATGGGTGAACTTAGCAGTTTCCGGCAGCTTGACAGTGACTCTGTCAAACCTGCAGCAATCTGCCAAAATAGGGGAGATAAGGGAAATGGGCAAGCAAAGCACGAAAATTACTGAGTTTGCAGGTGAGAGAGGAAGCTTGCTCTCTGAAGGGTGTGTTGTTCTTGTGTTGGGTAGAAGGGGTCCTATTTATAGCTGCTGGGAATGGTTATTCTCCAAGAAACCCTAATGGTTTCTTTCCAATCTAGCCAAGCTTTCATCTTCCTTTCTTCTCCTCCCTCTTGACTTACCTTATGGTGGCAAAAATCAGCTTTGCCCAATCCCACAAAATCAGATATTTTTGGGAGCTCAATGCTTCTTCCCGCGGCTGCTTCAGAGAGGAACTTCTATTTTCACCCATCTTCTTTCTTCCTCTTCCCATGGCCAAATTTGATAAAGGAAAGAAAATGGGTGTGCCTGTTGGTTCAAGGGATGACATCCTTCCCTGCGTGCCAATACCCCTTGGTCTCTTGAATGCTTTCACTTGGAACTTGTTCCTTAGCCTCCCAGCAGCCCCTCACATGTGGATTCCCCAAGCTCCTTCGTGATTTTACCTTCCAGCTGAGTGCCAAGGCTTGTGCTGCTTTTTATTCTAATTACATGAGTTTTTTTAAGACAACCACATGATCTATCCAATGGATGAGATAACTGTTGCATTCCTAAGAGGACACAAATTAATGTGCAAACAACCAATTAAAAATACCCGCAAGTGCACGAATCTAATGAAGTATAGATTATGTAAGTACGGGGTCGATCCCACGAAGAACTTGTCGGCTTCCTATAAGTTCTAATTTGAGTACGTAAAGAACACTAATTTAACACACCACAAATGCACAAATGCAAATTGGAAACTAAAAATGAGTAAAGAAATGTAAAAGAAATGAAACAACACAAGAAACCAAAGAAAAACAGAAACAGCACTTTCTATCACCCTTTTATCACCTATTTATCACCTGTGAACAGTGCCATGAACAGTGTGGTGAACAGTGACGACCGGTCATGAACAGTGACGACCGGTCGTTTTTGGGCAGATTCAGGTGCGACCGGTCGCCTGAACAGTGAATAAGAACAAAAACCATAATTGAAAGTACGACCGGTCGCCTGAACAGTAATGACCGGTCGCCTGAACAGTAATGACCGGTCGTTTTTGGGCAGATTTGTTTCTCTGTTTTTCCAGTTTCGACCTCTGTCCAGTGTTTTGCCTATAACTTTCCAACCGTTTGTCCAAAATTGACGTTTTTTATATGGTTGGATTCAGCACAGAAAATTCAAGAACACAACGCGGACCAAAAGTCCAAAAAAATTACAGAAACAAAGAAAATTCAGTAACAAAGACACATAACGTGTCAAACACGCAACTCACACACACATTGGGGGGGTTTTTTGATTTGGTTCAAGTGACCTATTTCTATTGCATGAAAGTAAATGAACTTTGAATTTAAATGAGAATAGCAGGGATGAAGTATCAAAGAGTGGAATTAAAATGTAACAAACACTAGGGTTTCGGAATCCACCCTAAACAATTCTACCCA